GTCCAGTAGGGAAATTGGAGTTAAGCAAGCAGCATATGCTCTTTTCATACTCTTTATTAGAAGGGGGGAAACAATTTAATGTACCAAGGCAGAAAAGGAATCAGAATCCCTGTAAAGGTATTGGTACTCCAATACCCTTAAGGAAATGTGAGGTCTCTCTAAATGATACAAGTTGAATCAGTTAAATTATGACCAAAAAAAGAAAGCAGAGGGCTAATTAGATAAATTAACATGCTGTTCATTCTGCCAGAGCAAAAATCTTATCAACGTTACAACAAAAATTTCCTAAAAGGCATGGAACACTACCAGATTCTTTAAAGTAAGCAACCAGTTCTACATCTTGTCCCACTTCTAGGACACTTCTTGCCCCCCATAAGCTGGCAAGATACCAATGGCTGTCATGTGGTAGGAGCCCATATTAATAAGTCTAATGAAAGGTCAGGGTTAATGGAACCATTTCATGCAGCCATGCCCTACAAGGTATTGTGTACCTGTAACAGCTATTATACTTGTGGCGTGCAACTGAGCCAAAATTTTAGTTGGCTAGAGGCTATACAAGTAACAGACATGAGCTTACAATCTGAACATACAAGACTATGAAAAAATAGATGAGGCAGAGTTGGGGGCAGGGAAAGAAAAAGAAAATAATTAAAAGGAGAAGCCTTCCCAAGAGTGCATATTCAGATACGGAATATGCACAGCTTCCATATTGCTGTCTCATGTAGTGGATCACTAGAATCAAAGTAAACTGAAGACCTTCAGACCCCTGGCTTTTGAATTCTCTCCCATTACTCTCACACACAATAGCCTTACAGGCCACAAACAACAAAACATGAATTAATGTTTTTAGTATCCGTGCTCCTCACATCCTTAGCTCCAAGATCTTAGGAGATTCTGATATGTGAAGCATAGATTGTTCTTATTTACAGCAAAAACAAGTGACTGAATGTAAAACAACATGTTTAATAAATCTGCAGAGCCTAAAGTACCAATATAATTCAGAGCAGCAAGATAGACACGCACTTCTTAATTAAGTGGGTGATGTTCTAGTTAAAACAAAAAGACAACCCTGGGCCATATCTAAGATTAAGCACGCGCTCTTGCAAAGGAAGCTCCTACTATTATCAATATAAAGGCTTTAAATCACAAAAAATAAACCATCTAATAGTCTGTATTCAATAGTAAGTAGAAAGTCAGGACACAGACTGATTTGGATTAACACATTTTCAGTCATAACAAGTAATTTTACAGAGGATTAGTATCTTGATGGTCTGATCAATACTAGGCACTGCTGCTATTACAGATGAAGAGAAAATTACCCCTCCAGTAATAAAGTGTGTATGTCTTGGTTCTCCTTCATTTGCCGAGTCCATTACTGTAATGGTTCCAGCATTAGCAGCTGAGGCAATTTAAGCAGCAGGAA